CCAGACCGATTTTGTACACGAAAATCGGCGTCACAATACCGATTTTTGTTAACAAAATCGGCGACACAACGCCGACTTCACAAGTCGAAATCGGCGTTGTAACACCGAATTTTTTTTCATGATTTTTGTTTTTTATTTGGTTTTAAATTTCATTAAGGGTAAATTAGTATTTTTATATTGGAGGTCTTGAACTAATAAAAAAATGGGCTTGCATATATCCGCCGCCATGATTAAATGTATTAAAAAAAAATTTAAAAAACAGTATTTATGTAAACAAACATAAAACTTATCTATATAATTTTTTAGTTACTAATACAAATTATTGCATATGTTTTCAATGTCTACAACACAAGTTATAAAATTTACAAAATTATGTTTTAGGAGGCATGATTTGTTAGAAAATGTTTTTTTTTTTTTTAAGTTTTTAGAAAGTATAAAATAAAAATGATTTTTTTCCTAGAATACAATAGAAACTAGAGTACTTTCTTGTTAGTCTTTTTCATATCCTTCGTTCATTTGAAGTAGTGTCTACTATAAATAACGGTAATATCTCATTTTTAAAATAAGTATTACACTCAATTACTTGTATTTATAATGTTAGTGTAAGTAATTTATTATATAAATGTGACACTTGAGTTATTAAAAAAATCAAAAAATAATATCTTATACACTAGGCCAAATTTTATTTCAGACGACTTTTTATTTGCGACGAATTTGTAAGCGTTGCACCTATAGTTTACTATATAAATACTCACAAACAATTGTAATTTAAAACTTTTAGAAATATTGCGACTAAAAGGGTCGATCAAATATTTCGACAAGACTGTAATTAAATATTGATTGTTGCAGTCTAGTACCGATTCTCCATATTACATCAAGTAGGATAAATGTTTGTATAACATTGAGACCATCTCGCAGCGTCTTAATCTTATAATTCTCTAATAGTTTTCTTGGATTTATTATATCATCATTCAAAAATTGGGCAACAAAAGTCGGAGGACGGAAAATTGAATGGAGGGATGGGTGGGCTGAGGTACATGAGATATTAATTACGTTGATTTTTTTTTTTACTTTTTTTTCGTCGAAATGCTTGTAATAAACTTTGATATAACATGTACATTCTTTTTTTCTTTTCTTTTCACACAAAACCTAGTTGCGGATTAAAATTGGAATGGGATTTCCTATTTCCATCAATTCAATCCATTTTTTTCCGATTTTGGACAACAATTTTCATTTTCAATTCCGAAAATTCCGATTTCAATTTTGTTCGAATGATTTTGGATTCGAATTGCAATATACATGAGGTTTCAATTTCAATTTCAATTTCAATTTCAATTTACGATCCGATTTCATATGAATGAAAGAAGATTAGTATTTTTGTCTTATAAAACTTTTTATATTAAGTTTGTAAATTCCAAACTTGTATATTTCAATTTTCATTCCATATGTTCACTATGGTTAGACCCTATATTTTCTTATTTGTTGTTAAGATAAAACTATTTTGCAGGCACTCAAGCACTAATATAATAAATACGTAACTATTAAATTAGTTACATTTAATTTCTGGTGAGTCACTTGAAGTTCAAACTCGACTCACATTTTCAAGTTTAATAAAAAAAAAAGCTCAAACTCGGCCATCTCACAATTAATTTAATTAGACTCAACTCAAATATAATCGAACCGGAATCATCGAACTTCGTTAGACTCGACTCAATCGACAGTTTCTAACGAAAACATAAATACAATTCCTCTTCTAACCTTTATGTTGCTTTCATGCAAAAAATAAAAATAAAAATAAAAAGAAAAATAAAAAAGAAAAAAGAAATGGACTGTGGATTTGGACCATATCAAAAGGCTTTTTCGGGCCCATGAGTTGGGCCGAGAACCCAAATATTCAGGGGTTCCAATCAAATATAAACCTCGCCGGTTCTAGGGTTTCTATTTATCCTACAGTACAGGCCCCAAATCTGAAAACTCGGCGGTGCATTTGATAGCAGAAGCGGCGGCGGCGGAAGCAACAATGGTGGAGAAGGGTAGCAAGGCGAGGAAAGAGGAGGTTGTTTCTAGGGAGTACACAATCAACCTTCACAAGCGCCTCCATGGATGGTACTATTCTTTCTCTCTCTAAAATATATACATGTAGAGAGAGAAATGCATATTTATGTCTTATGTTCGTGATTGCGAGGATAATTTAGATCTTCATTAGTTTGCTTGATAATTTTTTTTTTTTCATTTTTGTACTGCTGCAATTAGGGTTTGATGAATCAAATTGGTCTGTGCATGATTTTTCTTTGTTCAGTGTGATATTTTCACCATTTTTTGTATGTCGAAGATGTCTGAAAGGCATCTAATTTTTTAATGTTTCATTTGATTCTGGGTGAAAATGCTTCAATTTTTTTAATGTTTTATGTTAATATTGGGTAAATTAAAAAATTGTTTTCAGAATACTGTAATTGTTGTACTTTGATGTTGGGTAAAATGATGTTCTCGTTTTTGTGAATCTCCGATTATCAGTCTTCAGGAACCGTTGGAGGCCTTTTGTTCATTCGTATTTTTTTTTTGAATTTTATGTGTATTAATTGTTAGATGTACTGCATTTCATGAAAAAATTCGGGTAATAATACGATTTTTTTGTGAATTGGGTCAGTAATTGTATCTTCATTTGTCTTCGTTTTTTTCCCCTCAAACAATCTTCCCCGATTTTTGTTTTAATTTATGTGTATGAAATTGGGGCAATAATACGATTCTTATGCAAATTTCCTTTTTTCTTCGTAAATAAACTGTTTTTTTTCATTTAACTTGTCCGATTGTGCCATTTGATGCTGCATATATGCTCTTGAAAAGTTGACTTAATAATGTTTTTTTACGACAGTACCTTCAAGAAGAAGGCTCCAAATGCTATCAAAGAAATAAGAAAGTTCGCCACGAAAGCAATGGGAACCACTGACGTAAGAGTCGATGTGAAGTTGAACAAACACATTTGGAGCCGCGGTATTCGAAGTGTGCCTCGTAGAATCCGTGTCCGAATTGCGCGAAAGAGAAACGATGATGAAGATGCTAAAGAGGAGCTCTACTCGTTGGTCACCGTTGCAGAAATTCCCGAGGGTGGGTTGAAGGGATTGGGCACCCAAGTTATTGACGAGGAAGAATGAATATTTTCTTTAATTTCTTAAAATTTACTTTTTTTTACGAATTTTGCTTTTTACCTATGTTTTAGAGAAAAAGTTTGTTTGAGGGATTTTGTGGTGAGTTGTTAATGCAGTTCTACTTCTACTCGTTTTTTTAGACGGATTTATCGAATTTGAATTCACCTAGCGTTTATTTGTCTGTTGGATCTTTTACTGTTGTGTCTTGTTGGTTTTGAAATTCTGGTTTTTCTGTTAATCGTCTTGGTAAGTTTTAGTGCTGGATCTTTTGGATCATTGTTATTTGATGTGCTTCTGGTTTTAAGTTTTAACTGTTTATTTGATGCTACGACCCAGTGAAAAGCACTGGATAATTATCAACTGTTGATGTGTACATGATCACACACACCTATGTGTACGTGTACTTAGTAAGTGATTAGTTAACTAATCAATGGTTACAAATCAGTCAGTGTATATAGCTCGGTGTAGCATCGAATGATCCGTTTTGACTATGAGCCATGGCTATATTTTATCATAAGCCACGTGGATAATCATAATTTTTCTAGATACATTAATACTTCAAAATTAAAATGGTACATTTTCCAGGTGCAATCTTGATGAAACTCAAATAAATAAAAACATAAAGAAACATAACTTTAATTATCACCATTACAATAAATAAAAAAATAAAACCATTAACAAGTAGGCAAAGGCATCCCACATAAGCAATCATTGTTGCAAAACGACGAGGCCTCAAAACGATCGAACGGTGTTCCCTTCGGAATCGCCCCGCAAAGATGGTTATGGCTCACATCCAAGTGCCCCACATACTTGGCCGAAGACAACGATTTCGGAATCGAACCATTCAAATTATTATACGATAAGTCGAGCGCAATTAAATAAGTTTTCGGTCCGAAAACATTAGGAATATTACCTTCCAAAGAATTTCGACTCAAATTCAATATGCTCAACCCCGTGTTACTAAGTAGATTAGTATGTATCTTGCCAGATAAACGATTGCTATCAAGATTTAGAGTTGAGAGAATCGGAATTGCCCCGAGTTGAAACGGGATTGACCCGGTCAACCGGTTCATTGATAAGTCTAAATCAGCCAGTCTATGAAGATTGGCAAGAGAACTCGGAATTGACCCGGTGAGTTGGTTCCGACTCAGTAAAGCCCGGCTCATCATAGACAAATTACCAATATTAAATGGGATTTCTCCACATAATTTATTATTGGCGAGCTCCAAATGCATTAAGCTTTTTAGATCAACAATAGAGGCCGGAATCTCGCCGGAGATTCGGTTGTCGGCGAGGTTGAGCACTGTGAGCCGGCTCAAATTCCCAATACTCGCCGGAATTGCGCCGGTGATTTTGTTTCCGACTAGGTCGAGGATTCTTAAGCGCGGGAGGGCGGCGACGCACGCCGGAATTTCACCGGAGATGGATTTCCAGTCGGCGATTACGAGTGTGGTGAGGCGGTCGAGGCGGCAGAGCGAGGGGGAAATTGAACCGGTCATGTGGCCGGTCCGGCCCGTCTTCTGGAATATTGGGTCCTCGGATTCGCCCCGGAGGATGATGTCAGCGACCCGTTTGGTTTCCGGGTCGCATGTTATACCGTACCAGTTAGTGCAGCAGTTGGTGCCTGACCACGTGGCGAAAATGCCCAAGTGTGGCTCGTTTAGGGCAGCTTTGAATGATAGAAGGGCTGCCCGATCGGAGGGCGGGCAGGCATGAACGACTGAAGTAACGGTGAGCAGCAGCGTTAGAGCGGTGGCAAGAAAATCTCCAGTCAGCCTCATCATATATATATATATCCTTCTTATCTGTATATGTATGTATATATTGAGAAGTGAAGGCAATGTAGTTATACAACTTTATATAAGTGGTATTGAAAAAAATTTACCTCATATTAATACTATTTTGTTAATAATAAAAAATGCAATACAAAATAAATAAATAAAAAATAAATGGAGTCTCCGGAAAGTTATTGAATTACGGTGAAGAAAAGGATGAAATTTGGCCAACCTATGCTACAATTATAAAATTGGATTGTTAGTATAAGTTTCAGAATCAGAGATATTAATTAATTAATTAATTAATTAATTAATCAATCAATTAATTAATTAGTTTATTGAGTTAGCCGTTGATTTTGGATTGATGTAAGAAAATTGTGAGGTGTATTAGCTTCTTGTTGAAGCCAATTGAGAAAATAATGTCAACACAGAAACCAGATTTTCTGCAAAATTTTCAGGTGTACTCAAACATGTAATAAATAAAATAAAAAATATTCCCTTTTTTCGGTACAAATAAAAGAACTAAACTAACTCAGGCAAAAATGTCTTCAGTTAAAAAAGATGCCTCACTATCGATACAAGGCTCAGACGAATCTTCTAGAAGCTGCTCGTAATTAAGCTGTCTAGAAGCTTCGTACAAAGCAATGCCGACGCTCACAGATAGATTCAGACACCTAACGTATGTTTCAACCATTGGAATTCGAATCGTACCGCCACCTAGCGATTCGCTCTTACAGTCGAGCAGTGCATCGGGCGGCAATCCACTAGTTTCCGAGCCGAATACAAGCCAATCGCCCTTCCTATACGTAAATTCCTGCACAGTTAAAAATATTTATTAATCATAGTTAGTTACGTAGAATGCGATCCACGCCACAATTAATCATATCATTGTGTCAACTTTTTAGGTTTCGAATAATTTGTATTTCTAGATTTTTTATTAAATATTTGTTTTATAACAATGTAGCTTTTAACGCTAATTTTTAATCAATTAAACTATTGAGCAATATATAAATAATTTACTAAAATTATATGCACTACGCGCAAATACACGCATTAATCATGGTTAATTGCGTAAAAAACTTACTGAATGGGTTTGTGTCCCTCGTTTTGTAAACGCTAGTAACCTCTTTTCACCATCCTATATGATCAACGAGGCATTTATGCATTAGCAAGCGAATGAATGAACGAATGATAGATAGATACTATTTCGTACCAATTATAAAAAAAATAAAAAATCGAACCTGTTTCTTGAAGTATTCCCGAAACTCTGACCATGAACTATGCACCTTCACAACCACATACCTAATTTTAAGGAATTAATTACCACAAATGCTCACGAATAATTAACTTTGGGCTAAACTGATGCGAGTACACAAATTCATTTTGCGCAACAATCTTATTATCGAGCAATTTAATCATATCTATAACTTTATTTTGGAAGTGCTGAATTTAAGTTTTTAAACATCAAAAGAACTTAGTCAAAGGATACGGCCAGTAATCGAGTCCAGCTCGCTTTACCTTTGCATCGTCAATCTGGAACCCTAATGGCTGAAGCAAGAAACGAGAGTAAGAGGTAAAAAACAAAGTGACTTATTTTATTTTTTTTTTTTTTATTTATGGTTGTGTTCAAGAAAAATATCAATGATAAAAGAGGTTAGAAAATAATAACCTCAACTAAGTGCAATTTGACATTTGTCGCAGCACAAGTGCGAGCGGTGCATCCTGTGTTTCCCGGAATCTGTACGAGACAAATCGAAGAGAAGGCCTTTAGATTTTTAAGTCGTCTCCAAATAAAAATAAATAAAGCATCAAATTTGAATTTTATAATCTGAACATTTTAACCAAAAGGTCAAAGAGGAACTGCAATGAAAAATTTTACGTGGAGGTAAAAGTGGAAAGTCGTATACACTTCAGCGAGTTCATTTGTATATCATCTAATAAAAGGTCAACTCGTGGAGACATTTTTTTTTCTGATATTAACAAACATAAGTAGAAGCTCATAATCATTTAGTTTCTCTGAATGTAAAAAGATGTTTCTGTTCTTTGCGATAACCGAGAATCGATTTAGGGAAATCTCATTATCTAATGTTTCACCTTCCAGCCACACCTATGAGTTGAAATTGGATGGGTCGATTCAAAATTAGAACTTTCGGAAAAAAAATCGTTTTTTTTAAGCGAAAAACTAATTATAATTCCGTTCCAAAGAAAATAAAAAAAAAAATCGGAAATCATAATTTCGGAAATTGGATTGGAATGAAAAAAAATTGTTCGAAAATTCGAAATGTTCGGATCGGGAACTGCGGAATTCGGAAAATTTCTATATAGTCACCTAAAATATAAAATACATTAAAATATTGATATTATAAATGTAATTTCCCCCCAAAAAAACAAAATTTTCAGAATTATTTTCTGTAGTTAACCCAGATCGAAAATCAGAATCTCATGTATATTTTCCAATTTCAATCCAAGAATTCGGAATGAAAAACATTGTTCCGAAATCGTAAATTTTTTGGGTCGGAATTCCAATTTCCACCTTACTTATAACCACATCCAAATCAATGATGAACATTATTTGGCCAGGACAAGACAACGTTGAACTTCCTAAAACACAATCTAAAACAGTGACTTTTTTTTTAATTTTCATCCAAAATAATTTAACCATATGAACTCAGATATATACGGATTAAAACGACACCGTTGCGAAATTGAAGAACAGAGAAATAAAAACCTGCGGTGAAACTAGAACCACTTGAAGAAATTCTTTGTTCGCCGGAGCTTTGCTCGCTTCCCCACCAAATCCATTCGGCAATGCATCTGCTCGAAACTTATCAGCTGAAAATTTCACAAAACGAACATCAATTCATGCAAAACACACGTGTATTCAGTTGATGAAAATTGCTGCCGAATTGGAAAAAAACATATGGATATAGAATTACATGAAGAGCAAGCGGGGATAAGCTGGGAGAGAGAAGGGAGAGGGGAAATTGGGATGAGTATTGCTTCCGATGAACGGAGAAAATAGCGCGGCGGAGGAGAGTCGGAGCTCTGCGTCGGAGGTGAAGTAAAGACGATGAGGTAATGGCGTTTAGGGCTCTGAGTCCCGTTGTCTCCATTTTCCGTGCAAAATGAAACGGGGCCGTTTTGGGCTTATCTGAGTTGAAGTTTGTTTTAAGTTTTGATTATTTGAGATCAGTCCCTCTAGTATTCAGAAACTGTAATTCTACCTCCTAGTTTATTTTAAATGTAAAATTTAGCCAATATATATCCAATAATTTTCATCTAATGAGTTCTAGGAGCAATATGTAATATATAATAGGGTAAATTACACCTATACCACTAATATATGCTAAAAAAAAATTAAGGTCTATGTGCTATTGGTAATTACAGCCACATCTCTAAAATAATTATCGGTGTCATATGTCTAAGGACTGATATGCACTATATTTGTTTCCAGCGGGGCCGTTAATGTATTGTTATTATACTATCATAGACAAAACTTTATAAATCTTATATAAAATAATAAAGATTTAAGAAATGTTAGGAGAGTCATCTCACGCCTAACTCTATGTTGTCTCCACCATTGCTGAAACTAATTTTCCGTGAGAACCCTAACAAAATAACTTATCATATGCACTATTTCATTAGGGTTTCTAACAATGTTTCAGGGGCGATGGTAATTACCGATACTATACGGACCTTAAAGTTATTTTAGCATATCTCATGAGTGTATGTGTAATTTACCAAAAAATATAATATATTTTGGATAAATTACACATACACCCCTGAGGTATGCTAAAATAACTTTAAGATCCATGTGGTATTGATAATTACAGCCACACCCCTAAAACAATTACATAAACCATGATTTCATATCATGGGACCGATATGCACTGTAATTGTTTTCCGCGGGACCGTTAATGCTACCACAGACGAAAAATTATAAACATTAACATAAAATAATAAGAATTTAATAAATATTAGGGGATGCATGTCACCCGTAGCTCTATGTTGTCTCCACCACTTCCTGAAAACTAACATTCCGCTAGAACCCTAACGAAATAACTTTTATCCAATTAATTATTTCGGTAGGGTTTCTAGCAATGTTTCAGGGGGTCATTGTCACATGGACCTTAAAAGTATTGTAACGTACATCGGGGGTGTAGATGTAATTTACCCCTATATTTTTCTACTTCTCAAAAACGAAAGCGCTATGTTTATAAAGAGTCGCGTTGTATATATATTTTCTTTAGGCGGCCGACCAGAAATTGTTTTTCCCCTTTTTATGCAACTCGCTGGAAAACCTTCAAATACTATATACATACAAATCTCTCTCTCTCTCCGATTTGCGTCGGATTATTTTTTTCCTCCTCCGATCAATAGCGCTGCAATTGATCGATTCAGTTCTTTATTGATCAGGTAAGGCACGGTATCGAAATCCTAAAAATTAGGTCTGTATATATTTTCCGATTTGGGGGTTTCGATAGTGCGTCTTGTGGGGGTCAATTTGTTTTTTTTTTTTTTTTTTGTTTGGCAGCTCATCCAATAATTTGTAAGGTAATCTCGATTGTGACTTGATCCGAGCCTGTGTTTTTTTTCGTCCGGTTAAATTGGAACGGTGGATTAGCTTAAGGGATTGTTTTGTTTAAGGTTGTGTTTTCGACTTGTTTTCGGTTGACTGAAGTGTTAATTTTTTTTATTGATTTTGTTCCATTGGTTTAAAGCTCCAATTATAATTATTATTTCCTCTAATTGAGGATCTTCGAATTTTGTTTAGTCGGGTCTTCATTTTTTTGTTTATTCCAGAATTTTTGTTTTTTCTTAAGGTATAGCTGTAGGGCGTGTGTGTACATTACGTAAACATGGTTTTATGTGATCGGTTGAATGAAATCCGTGTGTATGTAGAATCTCTTTGCCTGATGTTACAACATATATACAAGATTATTTTACTTCCCACTGATTTTCGTGTTAATTACGGATATGGAAATAAGTTTTATTACATTCATTGCTTCTGTGTGCATATAATTTTTATTTTTAATTTAAATATGGTTTTATTACAACAAGATTATAACTCTATGTTAACATAATGTATGAGAATTCTGATTATCTAGAGTTATAAATTCTGTCACTTAAATATCTCGTGAGCTTGCGTGTCAAGCAGTGGGTAATTGTAGGCAGCAAACATACTCGGCATTAGGCTATGGATAAAGGAAAAGAGCCAGGGTTATTTGTTAACGACGGATCATTCATGGAGAGGTTCAAACAACTACAGCAGGAGAAGGAGAAGAAGGGTGAGCCGTTGGAGAAATCTAGGTCGGGCTCAAGTACGTTGATAACTTCAACTCCCAAGGCTGTCATTAGCAACACGACCATCAATATTAAGGCTAACGGCCCTCGCAAAACGACTCAACCTCCTTCGGGTGGAAAACTTGCTTTCAGTTTGAAACAAAAATCAAAACTTGTTGCACCCCCTGTTAAGTTTGGTGAAGACGAAGATGAAGCTGAAGGGTATGCTGGTAATTCCACAGATGGCGGGCCGGTAAAGCGGCCGAAGCTGGACCAGCTTGGTGCTTCTAATCAGGCATCTAAGCGAGTAGATATTGGTAATTACTTATTTTTCTAATGTATTGATTATGTGCCTTTGCCGTATATGTGTTTGTTTGTCAGCTGGGAGGAATTTTCGGGGTTATGCTTGGAATATATGAATCTGGACATACTTGACTAGCACAGTTTTCAGCTTTACTTTTTGTTCGTAAGGGGGTTCTGCAATATGTTTGTTACGTTCTTTCTTTCATGGAGATTGACACACCATTAAGAACCTTTCGATTAATACTTTCTCTAAGCCACAAATTTTAGCTGCCTCTTAAGTACAGTGATTCAGCCTGTCATGTGTGCATTTATTGCACTGCAAATGGTTTCGGTATATTATCTGTACTCACTTTTTAGATCGGTGATTTTTTTTCCAGTTCTTCTCATTAATTCAAGAACCCTTGTCTTTTTATTTCTTCCCGTGTCTTTCTGGTATTTCTGATCTAGTTACTTCGATTATACCTCCATGTAAACCCTGATTTGCCTGAGCTAGTTAGTTGGATCGTATCAGCTAGATTGTTGTGCTACCCTCTACCAAAGCAACACATACTAGATTGCTAGGCACAATCTTCGGTTTTTTTTAACAAGGGGCAAATGGACGGGCAAGAAATTCTTGAATTGCTTCTTATCTGATGAATGCAGCTCATACGTAAGTCCATATCAACATTGGTGCAAAGAGATGTTCACTGAAAGATTTGTAATATGTGGCAGGCCTGCTACAAGAGTAATTTATATGCACTTCTTCATGGTGTTGGTATTAATCAGTTCTTTAAGTGACATGCAGCACCACCTTCCCCAAGTGATTCTACAGTGAAGAACGTTGCAGACAAATTGGCAATTTTTGTGGCCAAGAATGGAAGGCAGATTGAGTATGTAACACGTCAAAAAAACCCTGGAGACACCCCCTTCAAGTATGTAGACTTCGTTCTTATAGCTCTTTATTTATTTTTTTGTCATGATGATGAATTTCTAGTACTCAGCAAATTGAATGGAGTGATTTATTTAGCAAGCATTGGGGTGACATCGGCACCGCTGTACTATAATTAGTTATTATCATTTCTGGATCGCACGTTGTGATTTTATTTTTTATTCTTTTGTTTTCTGGTTTCCACGACTTATAAGCTACCTAAAGAATATAATCTTAGAATTCCTTAGAGCTCTTTGCTTTCTTTTTAACGCTACCTTACCACCCAAGATTTTAATCGATTCATTTTTTGCAGATTTTTGTTTGACGATAGTTGTCCAGATTACAAGTATTATGAGTACCGACTTAGTGAGGAGCAGAAGGCTTTGTCGCTAACCAAGGATTCTCAAACACCACAAAGTGGTAAGTGTGTTGATTCCACAAGTATACAGGGGATATCATAAATTGCTATTAAGTACATAACTTCTTTTGTCTTGTATTTTAGAAACAAGAATTTCTCTATTTACTCAAACAATATTGGATGAATAATTTTTGTTTCCAATTTTAATCCTCATTTTTTGACATTGATTTTAATCCTGACTGGTTCTTTATCATGTAAACCATGGCAATGTGTTGTGTGTGTGTGTGTGTGTGTGTGTGTGTGTGTGTGTGTGTGTGTGTGTGTGTGTGTGTGTATATATATATATATATATATGTATAACTAAGTGTCCATAAAAAAAATTGCATATATAACCATCTTTTCTGACCGAGTGCTTTTTTTAAATATATTTGTGATTTAGGCACTACGACTCCTAATCCAGCATCTGGTGCTCAGAGATCACAGCGTCAGCACTTAAAATATCAAACTCCTGCCTCAGCTTTATATGATGCCACAGAGACTATAGGATCTTCGCATGCATTATCACAAACAAGTGCAAGATATGGTACGTTTTCCCCCTCGTTTCCTGTGATTAAGTTACTATGCAAAATGTAGAGACAGAAAACACTATTAAACAAAAATGTTAATCATGTTCAATCCGAAAACTCTATGACTTTATTGGATATCGAGTTGTCTATTGGGTTCTCCAGAGTTCGAAATGCTTTCGTCTTCCATTTAATAGTTATTATTCTACTTGTGCTAAATACCGTTAGGTGAATCAAGTGGCCCATCTGGTTCAGACCCTATAGCTATGATGGAATACTACATGAAGAAAGCTGCACGAGAAGAGAAACAGAGGCCTCATAGATCCTCAAAGGATGAGATGCCTCCACCTGCTTCCCTCCAAGGTTTACACCCGTTTTTTAATCTAAGTTTTTTTAATTTTTTTTCCTCTTTTTGCAATTATTCGTAATAATGGCTTCCTCGTTTTATGTTTAACACAGGTCCTATGAAGAAAGGGCATCACATGGGCGATTATATTCCTCCCGAAGAGCTCGAGAAGTTCTTGGCTACCTGTAATGATGTATCTGCCCAGAAATTTGTAAATGAGTATGCGGATAAAGCAAAAATTCAAGCTGATAACGTTGGCCACAAACTCTTATCCAAAATGGGTTGGAAGGAAGGTAAAGAGAGATAGATAGTCACACTCAGCTACATACAAAAAATGAAAAGAAAAAGAGTCTTCCTTTATTAAATTCTTATACATCCCTCGATTTTGTATCTATTCTGTTCTTTTGCCAACTTCTCTTCGTTTGGTTCGGGTAACAAATAAGCAGTAAATACTCGATAATAAGATGGTAAATAAGAATAATTAATCGGAAAATTGTGCAGGTGAAGGACTAGGGATGAAAAGCAGCGGAATAGCGGCTCCAATAACGGCAGGGGATGTGAAAAAAGATCACCTGGGTGTTGGTGCACATGCTCCAGGTGAGGTCACACCCGATGACGATATTTACGATCAGTACAAAAAAAGGATGATGCTTGGTTATCGTCACAGACCCAATCCTCTGGTAATTTTTTTTTTCCGTTCTATTTTCCCCGAGTTTAGTTGTCTGATATTCGAAAGAATTATCTCGTTAGTGAATTGTTTTTTTTTTTTTCTTTCCAAAATGTTTGCAGAACAATCCAAGGAAATCTTACTACTGAGAGCGTTTCGAACAGGTGTCGTGTTTGGGATCATCAGTGATCGTTGTAGTTGAAGTTTCTTGTTTTTCTTTTTCGTTTCGCAAATATACTTATCTTCTGGAACTATTGCCGAGAAATCAAATCAACTTTGTATTACATGAATCATATTTATATTTGTCTCCAATTTGAGAATTGGTATAATTTCTCTCCTTTTTGTATTACTGGTTTTCAAGAACTATAGGTAAGAACAGCTTTAAAATTGACCATATAAATTGCATGTCTTGCTTGTATTTATATTTATTTAAAGAAGCATTTAATTTTATTTAAATGTACACATTTTCATGGTTTCATGTCCTTTTTGGTCATTACAATATTAAAAGATCTTATTCTACGAAACAACAGTTTAACAATTTATAATGAGTGAAAATAACTTATAACACTAATAAAATTAATTCGACATATAAGATGTGGTAGCTTATCTTATCAGTTATTAAAACATCTTATTAGAAGTTTAAAACAAGCGTAGCCAAACGACCTCTTAGTGAATAAGCGAGTCGGCTCAACTCATTTACCACACCTGATTCCCACACACTGTAATAAAAAGTGTTGAACATCACCTTCCTATAATGAAATTGTCTTTACTTCTCAATCCTGTCTAAGATTCTATTTGAGAGAAATTTAAATTTCTTTATTTGACGAATAATGGAAACTTTTTTTTTTCTTTTTCTTTTTTGTCTGAAAAGTTCATTTTCAATATTGCATGATGAATCTTGAAAATAAATCAATTGTTCCATTATTCCATATGCTTCACCTGGTTATCTAAACGGAATTCCTGTATTTTATTATATAATAATCTCCATATGCGTTGACTTTTTAATTCTAAGTCAAATGCAACAACCCATACGTGTGAGATGTCCTAGTTGTCTTGCTGTTTTGTGTCGGCTCTTAATCTTAGCTAATTAATTTTAAGTATTATTTAAAACTAATTAATATAGTTGACAATCATTAGGGACCACTAAGCTATAATTGGCCAAAAACCCATCAGTTATATTATCGAGGTTCTGCTGTATATGTTTTTCTCAAATTGAAATAATAGTAAATTATTAATTAAAATAGCATTCTTTTACTTTCTTCACATTAAAAAACTGATCTATGAATAAATTCAACATCTTCCCTATTTTTCTCTTAGAAAATAAATAAATTAATAATTAGTAATTAGAAATAAAATAAAATAAAACAAGTTGTCCTCAATTTTTCTTATCAAATTGACCATAAAAGAAAAATAAAATAAAATTGAATAAGCTACGAAAAGGAAATAGTCGAGCATCATTTTCAGGGGACAAAATATTTTTTTTTAATTAATAAAATATAAATCTCTTGAGTCTTTGATGCATGCATCTTATTATTAATAAATCTCTTGAGTCTTTGATGCATGCATCTTCAGATAAAATCAATAGTATAGCATCTCTTTTGTCATTGGTCGAAGGGTAGCCCACAAACTTTCTCTCTCCTTCTCAACTAAAATAATTAATAGGGTACATTACCGTCGCCCCTCAATTATGGTCAAATAACAAAAATTCTTCTCTTGTTTGGGTAATTATAGCCACCCCTCAACTATATAACATGTTACGAAAATACTCCTCCATTTGTAAATTTTGCCTAATCGAAATTTCGGTACGCCAACATTTCATACTGATTACAGAATTGAATATACGATTTGGTTCGGTAAACAACCAAATTACGTAAATTCTATGTAAAAATATTTAAAAGGAGGGGTGGCTATAATTACCCAACCAAAAAGGGTTTTTTTTCGTAATTTAATCATACATCAAGGTTATCGTAATTTGCCCTGATTAAATAAATTTTGTTTTATCAAAATTTAATTAGTATGAGTATCCATTTCCCTGTTAGATCAAGGGTGGAAATCCGATGGAATGAGCATAATTGACTACATTTGGAAAAATATTTAATTCCATAATAAAATAACAAATATTTGATAAAAATAGATTAAAAGAACTATTTAAAATTGTAATATTCGACAATCTCGCAATCCAAAAACCAATCAACCAAACCCCACCCCCTCACATTTAGAAAGAACAAGATGACTTATCAGTTATCACACAAACCAACAAGTTCTTCTATGCTTCGATAACGTTAAATTAAATTAAACTAAATAAAAACTAGTAAGAATAAAATTTTATTATAAATTAAAGGATAAATTACACCCACACCCTGAGGCAGGGACGGATCCAGGGAGTTTTGGGAGGGGGCGAAAAAAAAGTTTTGGGGTAAAATGGTATAAAATTTTAACTTTAGAGGGGCTAAAGTGTATAAATGAATACATAAATAACCTAAAATATTAAAAAAATAATAAAAAAAGGTAAAAAAAAAAATCTGCAGGGGCGGGGTTCCCCCGACACAAGCCTTGGGTCCGCCCCTGCCATGAGGTATGCTTAAATAATTTTAAAATCTTTATGGTATCGATAATTACAGTCACCTCCCTGAAACGTAGTTAGAAACTCTAACGGGATAATGTATTGGATACATTATTCCGATACATAGAGTTATGAGGAGTAATGTATTGGACTATTACTTTTAGTTAGTGAACGAGATAACATAGAGTTATGAGGAGTAATGGGGTGACATGGATCCCCCAATATTTCTTAAATCACCCATAACTCTTTTGTTGTCCCCACCACTTCCTGAAACCAATAGTTCGTTAGAACTCTATCGTAATAACGTATCCAATGCATTATCCCATTAGAGTTTATAACTACGTTTCAAGGGGGTGAGTGTAATTATCGATACCACAGGGACATTAAAGTTATTTAAGCATACCTCAGGGGTGTGGGTGTAATTTATTCTAAATTAAATTTAGGGTAATTAAGGCCATACCCTTGAGGTAAGATTAAATTACAAAAAATCCCTTATGTTTGGATAATTACATCCACTCCTCTCAACTATGAATCTTCTTACGCGTTCACCCTTGTGATGTCAATTTTTTGTGTAATTTTCTAAATTATGTGGAATATTCTCCAGTATGTACCGTTGTATCTCTTTCGAGCTCCACATTTTGGAACAAGATGATCATAATATGTGTTTTTTGGCTTGTAAATATCAGATTAAGGTGCATTAGAAACTGCATTTTTGCACAAAACGAGTACAAACTTGAGATTATTTCACGAAATCTAGAAAATAGTGTTGAATGTGACACCATAAGTGTAGTCGTCAAGAAGATTCATAATTACACAAAAAAAGAGAGGTCTTTTCGTAATTTACCTTACTTTAGGGGTAGCCGTAATTTACCATAAATTTTATTTAGTATCATATTTATTTTTGACATATTTAGTTATTTAATGATGAAAGGCAAAAGTCAAATAGATTTCCAATTATTATGTTAGGATTGAAGTTACAAATTCCACCAACATTTTTAACTTTTAACTTTTAACTTTACAAGGTTAAAATTCGACTTTAATTCATTAATTTTGTCAAATATAGTAATTTATTTCTTCTTCTTTTTCTTTTTTTCTTTTTTTGTTTTTGTCAAATGGAGTAAGTGTCAAAGATGACGTGGACACAACGATGACATGGCAAACGGATATGTATGCATAAAAAATGGGTTCATTGATCCGGGTCCAGCGCACCCGGTCCACTAAAGAATTTCACGTGTGAAAATGGATAAAACCGAGGAAAATATTTATTATTATTGTCGTCACTCAATAAATACATACACCTCTCAAATCTATACATTTCTTTCAGAAAGAAAAAAAAAATTCTTGATTTCTGCACAAATTATTTCAAGAAAATAAAAACCCATATTTCATTTTCCATTTTCCATTTTTCAACCTGCAGAAAAACCCCCAATGAAAATCCAAGATCTGAAAATCTACTAATTCGTTGAAGTTCATACACAAATGGGTTTTTCTGAAATCTACTAATTCCACTGTAGCAAAAAGCTGTAATCTGATTGGTGGTTGCTGAAGTTTTTTTCTTCTGCCTGAGATTAATTATGTTCAGCTCGGAGATAAGCAGAAACCCTAGCAAAGAGAGCACTGCTCTCAAGCATATTTCAGCCGACGGCGAGTTTCTCAAGAGCAGAGAATTTCTCGGCTCTGATTTCTTCCAGCAGCAGAGCTGCGGGTTGGAGAGGTACCGATCGGCGCCCAGCTCGTTTCTCGCCGCCCTTCTGGACTCCTCCTCCGCCGGCGGCGGAGATAACAGCAGCAGCGGCGATGAATCTGAAGCTTTCTTCTCCGCCTTGTTGGACGGCGGCCCTCGTGATCTGAATCATTATCCTATGAAGCGGGAGGAGGAGGTTTGGTGGAGGGGAGGAGTCCGGCCCGAG